CCCAGCTGTCCTGGAACTCACTATGTAGACCAGGCTGGCCTCAAACTCACAAAGATCCCCCTGCCTCTGCCTCCTAAGTGCTGGGATTAAAGGCGTGCGCCATCACGCCTGGCTGCTCCTGGGATTCTTAATGTCATGATCAATTTCAACCCTGCCACCAATCCTATTGACTCCTCACTTTCAGTCATGTGACCCTCTCATCCTACAACCAGGTGGCACCGTGTGGCTGTGGCTGTGAAGGGGCAGTCTGTCACCCTTATTGTGGACTGTAAGAAGCGAGTCACTCGGCCCCTTCCCCGAAGTGCTCGGCCGGTGTTGGACACCCATGGGGTGGTGATCTTTGGTGCCCATGTCCTAGATGAAGAAGTCTTTGAGGTAAGCATAGCAGCAGTCTGAGAGGGGAGTGATTCTGGCCCTGAGTCTTGTGTCCACATGTCTTCCAGCCCCAGAATACCATTTTCCTATTCTTTAGGCTCTTGTTTTGCTTCCCATTAACTTTTATTTTCATTCCATATCTTTACGGCTGATTTTCCAGTGGATAGCTACACACCTACTTGTATGGATCAGCTGACAATAGCTACTTATTCTGCCATTTATTCTTCACCTGTCTACCTGTCCATCTATCCCTCCAACCAGTCTACTTGTTCACCCACCTGCCCACTCACCCCAGTCACCCACAGACCCCCCCTGCATGTATGCACCCACCATCTGTTCATCCATCCACCTGCCTGCCCACTCAACTAGGCACTCACTGGCCTACCTATACATGCATGCATCCCTCACCCGTTCATCCATTCACTCACCTTCCCACTCAGCCATCCACTGGTCCACAGCTGCATGCCTGCATCCCTGATACCTTCATCCATTCATCTGCTTGCCTGCCCACTCAGGTCCCCACCAGTCCACCTGTGCACTCATGCATGCATCCATTCACCTGCCTGCCCACTCACCCAGTCACTCACTAACCTACCTCCATGTGCGTGTACCCACCATCCATTCATCCATCCCCCTGCCTGCTCACTCACCCAGTCACTCACTAACCTACCTCCATGTGCGTGTACCCACCATCCATTCATCCATCCCCCTGCCTGCTCACTCACCCAGTCACTCACTAACCTACCTCCATGTGCGTGTACCCACCATCCATTCATCCATTCATCTGCCTGCCCACTCACCCAGTCACTCACTAACCTACCTCCATGTGCATGTACCCACCATCCATTCATCCATTCATCTGCCTGCCCACTCAGGTCCCCATCAGTCCACCTGTGCACTCATGCATGCATCCATTCACCTGCCTGCCCACTCACCCAGTCACTCACTAACCTACCTCCATGTGCGTGTACCCACCATCCATTCATCCATTCATCTGCCTGCCCACTCAGGTCCCCACCAGTCCACCTGTGCACTCATGCATGCATCCATTCACCTGCCTGCCCACTCACCCAGTCACTCACTAACCCACCTCCATGTGCATGTACCCACCATCCATTCATCCATTCATCTGCCTGCCCACTCAGGTCCCCACCAGTCCACCTGTGCACTCATGCATGCATCCATTCACCTGCCTGCCCACTCACCCAGTCACTCACTAACCTACCTCCATGTGCGTGTACCCACCATCCATTCATCCATTCATCTGCCTGCCCACTCACCCAGTCACTCACTAACCTACCTCCATGTGCATGTACCCACCATCCATTCATCCATCCCCCTGCCTGCCCACTCACCCAGGCACCCACTGGCCCACTTATGCATGTCAACACCCCCTACCTGTTCACCCCTTCACCTGCCTGCCCACTCACACAGCTGTCTCCCTACTCATGCACTTAGGCTCATACTGACTCACCCATCCATCCCCCATGCATCCACTCTCTGCTTCAACAACCCACCCATTCAGCCACCCATCCTCTTCAACCTTCCCACCCACCTATTCTCTCCCCTATGCACATCTATCCATCTGTACAAGGATGTATGCATCAGTTCATACACCCATGTAACCACCCACCATCTACCAGCCCACCTGCTGTCCCCCAGAGCATTCACTGACCATCTCCTCACCACCCACTTCCCAGTCAGACATTCCTAATACCCACATATTAACTCCAGCCATCTAGCTAAGCATCAGTGTACAGTCTCTGCTCTATGCCTCTCATTCACTTATTTGTAAGGTCATTCATTCATTCATTCATTCATTCATTCCCCAACTGAACCATTTAGCCATGCACCTGAGCCCGTTTGCCCATCTACATTTCCACCCCATCTATCCATTAATCCACCTACCCCTCCACCCACCCAGCCAGTTGAAATTTTCTGAATACCTGTTGGTGAAGAGAAATACAGAGAACAATATAAGGTCTTTGTCACCTCAAGCTCCCAGTTTGGCTTTGAGATGAAGCATATCCCCTAAATATATGGAAAGCCAGTAGGTAAGCACCTTGCGTGGGTACAAGTACTTGCCCCTGAGATTCAGAAGAAGGCTGCCTTCCCTCCTTTCTAGAGGTCTGGAGAATTCCCACCACCATTGCCACTGTAAAGCCAAGACAACCAAGGCTGTGTCTCTGTCTCCAAAAATCATCTTGGAAAGGCCCATGTAAGATCACAAGAAGCAGGGATTAGGCAACATGTGTTGAATTTGAAGTAGGAAGAACCTGAGTTCTAGTTCTGATCTGCCACTGTGAATGATCTTGGTCATTGATACTTTTATTTCTTTATTTTTCTTTGATGTGTACAGATGTTTTACCAACACGTATGTAAGTGCACTTGTATGTGCAGTGCCCATGGAGGCCAAGAGTGCATTGGATCCCCTGGAACTGGAGTTATAGATCGTTGTTAGCCACCATGTGGGTGCTGGGAACTGAACCCAGATCCTCTGCAAGAGCAGCCAGTGCTCTTAACTGCTGGGTCATCGCTTCAGTCTGTCACTGCTGACTTTCCCTGTTGTTATGAAGGGGAGATCCTTGGAAAACAGAAAATTGTGCTGCGGGAGGCTGACAACGACCTTCTACGGCAGAGCTTTGTTTAGAACTGGTCTCCCACACCTCACCCCAGACAGGAGTCTGTCCTCACCCCAGACAGGAGTCTGTCCTCACGTTGTGCTGCGGGAGGCTGACAACGACCTTCTACGGCAGAGCTCTGTTTAGAACTGGACTCCCACACCTCACCCCAGACAGGTGTCTCTCCTCACCCCAGACAGGAGTCTGTCCTCACCCCAGACAGGTGTCTCTCCTCATCCCAGACAGGTGTCTCTCCTCACCCCAGACAGGTGTCTCTCCTCACTTCTCTTCATCTCTGCTTCTTTACGCAGGGTGACGTTCAGGAGCTTGTCATCGTCCCGGGCGTCCGGGCTGCCTATGAATCTTGTGAACAGAAGGATCTGGAATGTGAGGGGGCACAGAGGGACAGACCTCAGAACCAGCAGCCTCACAGAGCCCAGAGATCTCCAAAGCAGCAACCGTCAAGACTTCATAGGCCACAGAGCCAGGAGCCTGAGCGACAGGTGAGGGAATCGCACGTCCTTGAAACTGCAGCACGCTCTGGCGGGGCAGACACTAGGCTTCTCCAGGGTGATTCTCCCAGTGTTCCAGGCTGTTCCATCCCATCCTCTCCTTAGTTCCCCATTCCAACCATACCTCTCTATTCCCATCATGCCCTCCTCCCAGTCCTCAGTCATCAACCTTTTTATTTTCATTTAAAAATAAAAAGTCATTATAAAGAACCCCTGGCTGGGAGTTGTGTGCCCTGCCTGTTACATCCTCTGCTGGTCATCTTGTGTCCTTGGGTTTCCCATCCCTTTCTTGAATTAAGAGATTGGGAGACAGTAGGGGACAGGTAAGCCCTGGGGAGGGAGGTGCAGGAGATGAAATCAGTAGAAAGAAGTTGAGATTGTAAGACCAAATAGGAGCCATGGGAAGGAGGGGAAGGGAAGTCTCAAAAGTGGGTAGCTTGTGGAAATACAGGGCAGGGAGCAGGGCCGCTGACCCACTAAGTGCATTGGGGTGTATGGGGAAAGGAAGAGGGTCTGGGTTAGGTGGGGCCTGAGTGGTTATGGTGACGGTGTGTTTTGGGGACAGTGGCCTGAAGACTGGAGGGTTAATCTCTTAATCATGTCTGCTTCCATCACATGGGAACCCATTCCCTCTTTCCCCACTCTGTCTCCTCACTCTGTCTCCTCACTCTGTCCTCGCTCTGTCCTCACTCGGTCTCCTCACTCCCCACCTTTTGTCCTCACTCTCATTTCCCATCTGCCACCCCATTTCCCAACTCCCACACTCTCTCCTTGTAACCCTCCCTCCCCCTCTCACCTCCACTTGTCCCTCCCCCTTTCCCACCCGTTTCCTACTCCCTGCTCCCAGCCTGAGTCCCTCTACTATGACTACGAGCCCCCCTATTATGATGTGATGACTACTGGAATGACACCTGACTATCAGGTAAACTTGAGGCCCCTTATCTCTCCCCTTCCTCCCAGCACCTCCTGTCAACATCTCCTGTGCTGAGTCCCCATCACACCCCAGTTTCCGGGAGAGACACCAGATGATAGAGGCTCACTTACTTATTACCCATCCCCTATCTTTCTGCTGCAGCATCCTCAGAGCCCCAACCGCAGGGCTCGCCCTTCCCCTAGGGGGCGTCGGACCCCTCCCCGAAAGTCTAACCCACCTGCCAAGAGGTCAACGGCCCGGCAGGCGCCCCTCTCGCCAGCCCGGAGGCTCTCTCCAGCTGGAGGCTCCGGCAAAGCCCGAGGCCGGCCTCCCCCTTCCCGACACCCAGCTCGACGGGCAGCTCCCCCCACTGCCCGCCCCCCCCCCAGGACCAGAGGCAGCGGTTACCGGCAGGTAGAGCGGGGCATCCAGATCTCTGCCCCCACAACTTTTAGATGTTGGAGATTGACTCTCCTCAAATTGTCCCCCTCAAAGGGGCTGCAAGATCTGAGATTTCCCCCATCCCCCAGCACAGATTCTGCCCATGGTGGGGACAGGTGCTGCTTTGCTTTCTGCCCTGCTAACTTTTCACCTTCCCCCACTCCTCTCCCCTTGCTTGGGGGTTAGTACCCCATCCCAGGTGAAGAGGAAGGAGTCCTGGAGTCAAGTCCCTTGCCATTCCCTGAGGAGGTAACTCCCCCAGACTCACCCCAGAAGGAGGCCCCACGCCATCTTGATGAACCAGCCCTCTCCCTGGCCGGAGGGCTCTTACAGCCTCTGTCTTCTCGTTACCCCAGACCTGTGATCTCCTTGTCTAAGTGTAGCCATTTCTCTCTGTGTTCTTTGATTCCAGAGTAGCTTGTCCATGTTGGTGTCAGTTAGGCTGACACGGTGCCAGAGGTCCATTCTTGTATCTACTTTCTGTCCAACACTGGTGCTTTTTCCTTCCCTGTCTTTCTGCCTTTGGTCATTTCTTGGACTCATCTAGCATTATGTGCGTGGACTGTCCACTCTGTGTCCAGCCCTCCGGCCACCCTTCTTGTCCTCCACCATTTTCCCTGCCCAGGTCCATTTCCTGGACATCATTTTTGTGGTTGACGGTCACTCCCTTTCCGTGCAAACCTCCCATTGCTCTTTTGGGGGAGAAAATTTCTAGTCCCAGTGACCCCCGGGATATCCCTTGGGCTAGAATTTGTCAAACCTTGGGGTCCAGGGGAACCCCCCTCTCAGCCCTAATGCCCCCATCTACCCCCTCTCCCTCCCCATTCTCGGGAAGGAGCAGACAGATCTCCAGGTCCCCCCCACAGCCGACAGGTTCCGGGCAGAGGAATATGGGGAGGGTGGCACAGACTCCCCAGCAGGGCTCTACGATTACACCTATGGCTATGGGGACGATTATCGTGAGGAAACCGAGCTCGGTCCTGCCCTCTCTGCAGAGACAGCCCACTCAGGAGCCGTAAGTGAAAGGAACGCCTCTTCCGTTCTTGGCCACCAGGGGGCGCTGCAAGGATTGCTTCCTGTTCTGATCACTGTTGGCTGTGAGCTGCCTGGTTTGCCATTTTCTGTTTCCATGAGATGTCTGTGTTGCTTGGAGAGATCCCTCCCTGCTGTCTCTTGCCTTTTCATGTCTTCCCCTGTGACTCCTTGTGGATCCTTTGCCTGTGCCAACTGGAGTTTTTTTTTAATCCAATCATGTGGTCATTTCCTGTCTTTCTTAGCCACTTCCTGTCTAAATCAAGATGGATTTCATAGTTTTTCATCAATAAGCAAGTACCTTGGGTCCAGTTCCAGTCTGTCTCACTCATTTCTTCATGCTCAGAACAGTTTCTTGTCCATGTTGGTGCTGAACTTTCCAACTTCCTATGTGACAACTAACCTACGGCCACTTTGGATCTGTCCCTTCCTGTCCTCTTAAGCTGTGCCGTCCATCTTGGTGACTGTCTCAGGCTGGACTGGAAGGGATTTATTATTTGTGTTCTGACTTTTTTATGTTGTCTTGTGGTAATTTTCTTGGACAATAAGCTGCTTCCTCTGTGCCTCAGAGTATCCAAATCATAAAGTTATCCATTGTGGACCGGGAGCTTTAGCACAGCCTTTTCCTGTGTGTGCCAACCTTGATGTTTGTGTTTCTCTGGAAGACAGCTTTTCATCTCCTGAACCTCGGTGCAGGTGTCACTTTGCATTTGTTTTGTGACTTTCTTTTCTGTCTTGGTCAGGCCAGCCATGTTGTTGAAGTTCCACTTCCTGGATCCTTTTTTTCTGGCCCGTTTCCTGTCTCTCTAACCACTTCCTGTTTGCTCGGCTTGTTTTTGAGGCGTCTTGACCATGTTTAATTTTTCTTGGCTCTGCCGTTGGTCTTGCCTCCGAGTGTGTGTTCCTTTGTTTCATCTCCCTCAGTGGTTCTGCGTGTCTTCAAACATTCCCTGTCTGTTGAGCTATTTCCTGGCTGGTCCACTTCATATTTTGCCTGCCTTGCAATTATGGCTGCCTTCTCCCCTGCTGACCAACTGCATCTCGCTTCCCTAATAGTGCCACCCTTGCTGCCTTTCCCTGATGCCGCTTTCTGGGTATTTGGGGTTGAGCTGGGATTTGGGAACTGATTATGATTAGTTGGCTAAGATGGAGGTGGAGGGGGGAATTCTGAAGGTCTTGGTTGGGAGATTTGGGGGTGCTAGTAAATGTCCTTCACCCTCTCTGTCATCTTTGTTCTGGCCTAGACTTTGGAGTGGGCTTTAAAATGGAAGTGTGGAAGGGAGGGCAGGGGGTAGGTGTGGCATCTTTGCTGGGAAAGGAACTGGGGGACCTGTGGATATTGGTTCTGAGGGTTTGGTAACTGAACCCAAGAGCTGTGTTTTTCCAAAATCCAGTTAAGAGGCCCGGATTTGGGATACCAGTGGGGACAGCTTTCTAAATCTTGAAGTTTGGATGTTTAGCCTCTGGGAAGCTTTAAAACTTGTGAATCCCTAGAAATTATGACTAGAACTGGGTGTGGTGGTGTATACCTGTAATCCCAGCACCTGGGAAACTGAGGCAGGAGGGTCCCAATGAGTTTAAGGACAGCCTAGGCTAAAAAGACTGTCTTAAAACAAATGACATCAGAAAAAAAAATAGGTAAACTTCTATTTTCTGGAGAGTCAAGGCTGTCTTCAGATTTGCAAATGGATCGTGCCTTACTCCCATCCCCAAATCCAAATCACCTATAATCTGGACTTCTTATTTGATGGATGGGGTAAGGATGAGGCAGATGGCATTTTAAGATTGTAAGGATTACTAGGGTTAGATGGAGTCTGAGGGGAAAAGGTGGAGTCCCTCAGAAAAGGAATGCTTGGATTTGAAATTCCAGAAAGGGAAAGAGGCTCTCAGGGGACAACATCCGTTTGCTTGAGGTGGGTCGGGAAGCTGCTTTGGAGGCAGCTTTAGGGAGGTCTCTGAAGGACCTGTGAGTGAAAGTTGGGGTTGGGAGGGGACAGGCCTGGTGTCCTGGCTGCTCACAGGCCCCACTGGGGGTTACATGTGTGTCTCTCTCAGACCGCCCATGGACCCCGGGGACTAAAGGGAGAGAAGGGAGAGCCTGCGGTGCTGGAGCCTGTAAGTCATGTTGGTCACGGAGCTGAGGGAGGTGGACAGAGGAGGAGAAGGCAATGGGGTGGGTGCTGGCCCTTGGGCTTCTGACTTTGGATGTCTAACTCCACAGGGTATGTTCGTGGAGGGACCCCCTGGCCCAGAAGGCCCTGCGGTAAGTGTAGGAGTGACACTGGCCTTCGTTCTCAGAGACTTTACCTGCAGGTACTTCCATGCCTGTGTATGTTCAGGCTTCTCTCTGAGAACCCCAAAGAGTCCTCACAGTCTAGGCTTCCAGATTCCCCATCTCTGCTGCACAGACCATCCCTAGCCACACGCCTCTCTTTTAAGGAATACCTACATCTGACTTTGTTTCTTTTCTTCCTTAGGGATTAGCTGGACCCCCTGGCATCCAGGGGAACCCAGGCCCAGTTGGAGACCCTGGCGAGAGGGTAAGGGAGTGCTCTGGATGTGTGTGAATGGTGGGGGACGGCAGCTACAGAGGAGCCAGTTGTCTCCCCAAGGATGCCTTGCTCAGCAATCCCTATTGGCTAGCTGGTTGAAGGTCTAGTTGTGCTCCCCAGAACCCAGAATGTAAGGGGAAAGGAGAGTGGCCTGGTGTCTGTGCCATATTGTTCCCTATAGGGTGGGAGTTTCAGGAAAGATGTAGGCGATGTCTATCAGTTCTGTAGAGAAGAGTGTACAAGTGATGTCCTGTCTCTAACATGCTCCTGCTAACATGTCTATCTCATTCTTTTCTACTCAGGGCCCCCCTGGCCGGGCAGGGCTCCCTGGATCAGATGGAGCCCCTGGTCCTCCTGGCACATCCCTGATGCTCCCAGTGAGTTATCTTCTGGGCTTTGAAATGGGTTGTCAGGGAGTGCAGGGGACTTGTGTCAGTCACTACTTAAGAAAGATACGGAGGAAAAACTAGGCATGATGGTACACACCTGAACTCTCAGCACACAGGTGATGGGGATGGGAGGATCAGGAATTCAAGGTCATCCTCAGCTGCACAGTGAGTTCAAGGCCAGCCTGGGCTGCATGAGACTCTGTCTTAAAAAACAAAAGCAAAAACAAAACCCAAAAGACCTCACTTAAAATAAGAAAACTCTGGAGGTCTCTAGAGACCAACTGAAGCAATTGATTTCTTGGGATGAGGAGATTGAGGTCTCACTAGACCTGGACCTGCACATGAGTCTCCTAGAAACAAACTTGAATCATCTAGAACCGGGCAGAAAAATCTCCTATTTCAGAGGATGTAGGAGCCAAAGGAGACTCTTGGAAGAGGCTCTAATGGGAAAGAGGTGGGGAGGTGAGAGTCTGGAAACTTCTCAGTGGTTATGTAGAACCTGAGGGATATGCCGGAGGAGGGCTGGGCTGAGGTGTTGGATGGAGTCTCTGGCTGGGAAGGGCCACATGGATTTCCTGAGGAGAGCTTGGTTCTTCTTTTGCCCCTCAGTTCCGGTTTGGCAGTAGTGGAGGTGACAAGGGCCCTGTGGTGGCAGCCCAGGAGGCTCAGGCCCAGGCGATTCTGCAGCAAGCACGGGTGAGGAGGGCAGGAGGGGACCCTGGCAGAGTGAGGTGTGTGATGGGAAGGGCAGAGGCTGGGAGGGGCTGGGGGGAAAGGAGGGAGAGAAGGCCTGGTTTGGCTGAGCTGAGGGGAGGTTGGGGTTCAGGGCATGGGATGAGGATTGGGTAGAGGAAGGGGGTGAATCTGGGGTATGTGCTGGGGCTCTCCAGCTGCCCCCTCTCAGCTATCCTGTCCCTTCTGGTCCTCTAGCTGGCACTTCGGGGACCTCCTGGCCCCATGGGATACACAGGCCGCCCTGGACCCTTGGTGAGTGAGTTGGGTGATAGGGTAGAGTCTCTTTACTTATGTGTATGTGGTTGTGGATAGTTTGGGAAAATAACCAAACTGAAAGTTCTTTTGCAGGGGTGGCTTTGAGGTCATGTTGAGTACATCCTTCAACATGGCTACCCTCTCTTCTCTCTCATAGGGTCAGCCGGGGAGCCCTGGCTTGAAGGGAGAATCTGGAGACTTGGGACCTCAGGTGATGACCCCCACATTTAGTCTGCAGCCCAGTGCGTCCTCCTGTTTACGCCCATTAACCCTCCCGGTCTCTCCCTCCATAGGGCCCCAGAGGACCTCAGGGCCTCACAGGCCCTCCTGGCAAGGCTGGGAGAAGGGTAAGTATTCTAGGGAAGGAACGGGTATTAGTGGGAAAGGGGCCTGGAGTGTGGAGGATGGAGTCCTTACTTGTTCCCACACTTCCCTCGTATCTCCAGGGCCGAGCGGGTGCTGACGGAGCCCGAGGAATGCCTGGGGAACCTGGAGTGAAGGTAAGTTCCTCAGGTCTCCTGGGATATGGTCTCTTCCCACTCAGGACATAGTAGGACAGGGTGGGCTGGGCCCTCACTTTGTCTGTCTCTCTTCCTTCTAGGGTGACCGAGGTTTTGATGGACTCCCAGGGTTACCTGGGGAGAAGGGACACAGGGTGAGTGTGCTGAGGGTTGGTGGTAGAGATGGGGCAGCTGTGTGGAGGGGAGGTAGGGATCTCAGGGAGGCAGAGGGCTCAGAGGTCAGTTAAAGGTCAGTGCCTGCCTGTGTTGGGAGGCTCTGAGGCCCTTCTTAGCTGTTCCCCCATTTTTCAGGGTGATACTGGTGCCCAGGGCCTTCCTGGGCCCCCTGGTGAGGACGGAGAGCGGGTAAGTGCCATGGGTAAGACAAGGGTTTGAACTCAGGAGAAGTCTAGAAGGTAAGACTGCTTCAACATGCCCTCCTCCTCTAGGGTGATGACGGGGAGATTGGGCCGCGGGGGCTGCCTGGAGAGTCGGTGAGTGTCCTGGGGATGGACCTAGGGGTGTCGTATTGAAGCCGTGGGAAGACTATGGGAACACTAAAGACACATTTCCTCTCCCCCATTCATGCTGTCCCTGTCAACTCCGAATTCAGGGACCCCGAGGACTTCTTGGCCCCAAGGGTCCACCTGGTATTCCTGGACCCCCGGTAAGCGGCTCCATGACTTCCAACCTGCACCTTACGCCTGACCTCTCCAACTCTACACCCTAACTCCCTCCTTCCTCCCTCCCTTCTTCCCACTCCTTGACCCCAGTATCACTGCTCCTTGCCTTCCCCAGAAGCACTTGGAGCACCATATGGGTGCTGTGCACCAAAGGCTCTGAGTGTATCCAAAGCAAAACAAAAATCCCCAAGAAAAGCAAAGCAGAAACCTCAAACCCACAGACACACGCCCTGCAGATCTGGGCCGGCCGTGTTGGTGGTGTTGGTGTAGATTTTGAGATGAATGAGAGGTCTGACTGAGCATCTGCCATTTGCCTCAGAGTGACCTCCTTTCACAAACCACAGCCCTCCCCCGGCCTGGCCCAGCTTCCAGTCTGCTCACACCCTCTTATGTTTCAGGGAGTCCGAGGCATGGACGGCCCAAATGGCCCCAAAGGGAGCTTGGTGAGTGATGGCATATCCCTGGACGCCCCCCACCACAGTCCTGTTGGCTGCCATTTTGAATCCCTTCCGTACTGCCCCACCTGCCTGGCTGCCCCTATAGCGCTCTGCCCTGTGTTGAGTTACCACTTCCTTCTGACCTCTGTTTGACCCCTTCCTGACCTTTCTGGCCACTCCCTGGCTGCTGTTTCTAGGGACCTCAAGGAGAGCCAGGACCTCCGGGACAACAGGGCACTCCTGGGACCCAGGTGAGTGGCTCTGCTGACCCTCATCCCAACCCCTTACTGACTGCCACCTGGGCTTCACAACAGGTCATACTGTGTTTGGGCACAGGACATTAGGGTCTTAGGCCTTCTTAATGGGGATATGAGAAAGAATGGCCCAGGCCTGAGGCCCCTGTGTCTTATCTCTCCCTGTGTGCAGGGTCTCCCTGGACCTCAGGGTGCTGTTGGTCCTCATGGAGAGAAGGTGAGTGACTAAGTGGTTTGCATGATGTGAGCCAGAGGGGTGGACAAGGAGGGTTTGACCTTTCTCTTGGGATCTTAACTCCAAAGACTGGACCACTCAAGTGACCCCCCTAATTCTTATCTTCCCACAGGGTCCTCGAGGAAAACCAGGGCTCCCTGGCATGCCTGGATCAGATGGGCCCCCGGTGAGTATACCCCCACTATGTCCTCTCCAATATGTCACTCGCAAGCTCCCTCAGTGACCATCCGCACAGTGTGTCCCTGGTACTGGAAGGTCATGTGTGCTGCCTGGCCTGTGCTCGGCTTTGTCAGGTCACACAGGGGAATTTGGGTTGGAAGAGGTGTATGGGTTCTGCTAGTGAGGTGACAGGGCCTGGCAGTTATGTCCTCCACCGCCTGCTTTCAGGGTCACCCAGGGAAGGAAGGGCCCCCTGGAACCAAAGGAAACCAGGTGAGATCCCCCACATCTCCTTCCCCTGAAGGCATCGCCATTCAGACTTGGGGGGAGGTCTCAGAGTCTTTGGGATTTCCTTGTCTGGTGTCAGACACGTGACACTGATAAAGTTCTGTTCTCATGTCCCTTCACCCTCTGGTGTGGCTGCTGTGTTTCCATTCCTCCCACCCCCCGAGACCCTCACAGTGACATCCTAAGGCCTCTTTGTAAGTCCGCCTCTTTCTTTTTCCAGGGTCCCTCTGGACCTCAGGGTCCTCTAGGATACCCAGGCCCTCGAGGTGTCAAGGTAACTGACCACTGGAGAATGAGATGGGGGTCTGAAGAGCTCAGTCTTTTAAACCTAGCTGATTGCTCCATCTCTGCCCTCCTCTTAATTCTAGGGTGTGGATGGAATTCGGGGCCTAAAGGGTCACAAGGGTGAAAAGGTAAGTTCTGTGCCTGTGGCTTTCCAGTACCTTGGTACTGCCATCAGCCCTCCTCTTTTCCTTGAGCCTGGCCCACACTGCCTTCTAGTTCCAAAATCCACCCTTTCACCTGTGTTCTCTGAACACGCCCTGAACTCCCCTACCCCTTCACTTTCTGTGTCTTCTTACCACCATCTTTCTCAGGGCGAGGATGGCTTCCCAGGGTTCAAAGGTGACATAGGTGTGAAAGGAGACAGGGTGAGTAAAGTCCCACCCCCTCTACCCCACTGGTTCCCTGGCCACATGTCCTTCTAACTCTTCTCTAGTTTGAGCCCTCGTAAGTTCCCACGAGACCCCAGACTTTCCTCTCTTTGCTCTGCCCCTTTAGAGCCTAGTCCCAGTGGGATGACATTCCTATAGTCAGCCACACTGGCCCTCTAGTCACATCTCCCTGCCTGTGGGACTCTGTCCTCCAGTGGCTTCTGGGACCCCCCCGACCCCCGCCCACCCCAGTCAGCCTCCCTGATACCTACATCCCCTTTTGGATACCATACCCATTTCTAATCCCCAACACCTCCTTACTTTCTTCTCAGGGTGAAGTTGGAGTTCCCGGTTCCAGGGGAGAGGATGGCCCCGAAGGGCCCAAGGGACGCACTGGACCCACTGGAGACCCTGGGGCCCCTGGGCTCATTGGCGAAAAGGTGATGGGGACTAGGCACCTGGGGATATGATGAGTAGTGGTCTGGTCGTTGGGGCAGTCTGGACATGGGGTGCCAACTGAAGTCAGAGAGTGAATCAAAGACAGATATAAATGAATTATGCCCTGATATGATGGCACCTCCTGGCTCTGGTGGGTTGAGAGGTTTATGTAAGAAGTCAAGGCAAAGTCCTGGCGGCTATGATGAGTTTGTTGAGGACCTCTGGGTATGAGTTGAGGGTGAGACTGTGGAGAGAGGAGTGGAGGAGGAGGTGAGATCTGTGGTCTGGTCCTGTCAGCCCTGTAGGTAGGCACATGACAGTCCTGCTTTGCAGATTAAGTTTCATGGAGGTGTGAAGATGTTAGGATGGTTGTCAGCAATGGCTGGTGAAAGGCAGAACCAGCTGTGAGTCCAGGCAGGCTGTCTGCAGGACCCTTGCTCCCATGAGCCCTGGAGCACCAGAAGGAAGAGGGTGCTCAGGGAGGAACTGACTGGTGCTCCCCCTTGGCAAGGGGGCAAGGCCTGTGGGAGACCTGGCTTGGTGGTGCAAAAGTGGGTGCTGGGGGAGACGGAACTGAAGATGTCAGCTGGGCAGTGGCTGGATCACAACTACTCTGCAGATTTAGTTTGAGAACATGGGGGAGATGAGATCCCACACTCAAGTTGGGGAGATCTACTCTTGGGAAGAGTGCTACAGAAGTGAGGCAGCCAGGGAAGTTTGGTAGGGAGTGTTGCTCCTGGGGGCCGGCTCTCATCTCAGAAAGTGAGATCTCTGGAATGTAAGGGTGTCTGGCTTCTGTCACTCTTCATTGCTCTCTGTCCTTCCACAGGGCAAGCTGGGTGTTCCTGGTCTGCCTGGCTACCCGGGACGCCAGGGTCCCAAGGTGATGTGATGCCCTATTTGTGTCCTTCCTCCTTGTTCCTTCTTTGATCTCGGACCCCAGGGAGCACAAATGGTAGAGCATGGTGTCCCTGGAGAGGATTTAGCTGACTCCCATTTTACAAATGTGAAAATAGAGAAATAGCAGCGGGGCATTTGTCCAAAGTGACCTAGTTGTTGGCAAGGCCCAGGTGCCTCTGTTGCCATCTACAGGGCCAGTCCTCCCCCTCCCCCTGGCCCTTCCTGAGCCCCCTCCCCTTTCATGAAGTCTCATCTTTCTTTCTTCTGCGTCCTTACCAGGGGTCCCTGGGGTTTCCTGGTTTTCCTGGAGCCAGTGGAGAGAAGGGAGCCCGGGTAAGCTAGGGGACAGGGGAGGATGCAGAAGGAGGGGCCGGAGGGGATTGAAGGGGTTTCTGTGGGGTGAGTCTCACTCTGGATGATATTCTCTCTACTTCATTCCACCAGGGCCTGTCTGGGAAAGCAGGACCTCGGGGAGAAAGGGGCCCCACGGTAAGTACAATGGGGAGACACAGGTGGTTTGAGATCTAAGAGATAGGCTGGGCATGCAGCTCAGTTGGTAGAGTGCTTACCTAGCATGCACAAAGCTCTGGGTTTGAGTTCCCAGCACTGCATAAGCTGAGTGTGAGGAGACACATTTGTCATCCCAGATAGAAACAGGAGAATCAGGAATTCAAGGTTGTCCTCAGCTACATAGCAAGTTCTAAGCCAGCCTGGGCTACATGAGACCCTGTCTAAAACCCCAAAAAGATCCAAGAATCTGCATTAGTGCATTTTTGACCCTCCTCTTCTGTCTCTCTAGGGCCCAAGGGGCCAGCGGGGACCCAGAGGCGCCACTGGCAAGTCTGGAGCCAAGGTGAGTGGACTCTGTAAGGCCCCATCTGCCTTTTGCTGCTCAGCCTCCCAACTCCTGATAGGCAGCTATCCCACTCCCTGACTTTGTTTCTCCACAGGGAACATCAGGTGGTGATGGCCCCCACGGGCCCCCCGGAGAGAGGGTAAGTGGCACTTGAGTACTCTGTTCCCAGTGCTCTCCAGGGAAGTGACTGTGTTCCCCTGCCCAGCGTCTTTTCCTTACTCACCCCATTTCTGTCTCTAGGGTCTCCCTGGACCTCAGGGCCCCAGTGGATTTCCTGGCCCCAAAGGCCCTCCAGTAAGTTGACCTCGGACCCATTTCACTTCCAAGTCCTTCCCCATCCCTCTTCCCAGCCAAGAGTTCATCACTCATCTCACACCCGAATGCCTTTCAGGGCCCCCCTGGGAAGGATGGGCTGCCAGGACACCCAGGCCAGAGAGGAGAAGTGGTAAGTGGTTGTGGGGCGCAGAGTGAGGAGTTTGGATCCTGCTGGGCCAGCTGCCTATGGCTCAACACGATGCTGCCCTTCCTTGGGGAGCTTGGAATCTGCCTTACTGTCCCCCACTCCAGGCCCATACCTGCTATGACCTCACATTGTCGCCTTCTTCTCTTAGGGTTTCCAAGGGAAGACTGGCCCTCCAGGACCCCCTGGAGTGGTGGGACCTCAGGTAGGTCTACTCCCAGGAAAGAGTGCACCCTAGACCTAGAATTAGGGACCTGTCCTAACTCCCCAGTCACTCAGCCCTGCGCACAGTTTGCTTCAACAGGGACCCTAGGGTCTGGGACTTGGGGGCTTGGGTCCAGAACTTCAGTCCCTTTCTGGGGCAGTTGTGACTTCAAGAAGAGGCAGTTTCCCTCAGTGACACAAGGTGGCTCAGTCACTCCACACCTGGGAAAGTGAAGACCAGCAGTGCTCCTGGGAGAGCCTCAGCAGTTTCCCAGCAGCTTTGGGGCAGGATGAAGGACTCTTGGGGCCGCCAGGGTGGACTCTCTGGGTAGCCGAAGGGACTGAGCTTGGGGGCTCTTGTCTTTTCCCAGGGAGCTGCAGGGGAAAGTGGTCCCATGGGGGAGAGAGGTCACCCGGGACCCCCTGGACCTCCTGGAGAGCAAGGACTGTCTGGCACATCTGGAAAGGAAGGGACAAAGGTTAGTGAGGGACCAGCAGAGGGAAAATGGGGGCCAGCGGTTTGGTGTGCTGCACAAAACAGGCCATTGTGGGTCTGAGGGGGCAGAACTCTCTCTGCCCACTTTGGGAGTGGGATTTTAGCTCATCTCTTCTTTCTTTTTTTAGGGTGATCCTGGTCCCCCTGGAGCCCCAGGGAAGGATGGTCCTGCTGGTCTGAGGGGCTTCCCAGGAGAGAGAGGCCTCCCGGGCACTGCTGTGGGTGTAACCCTAAAGCCAACAGCCTGTGACAGTCACCCCCATATCCTGACCCCTCCCCCCACTGGGTGTCATATCTCTCTCCCATTTTACTGAGCCTGGCTCCTCTCCTATCCCTCACCCTCCTAGCATGTCTCCTGGATCCCATGCCCCTGAAACCTCACCTTCCAAACCTTCCAAACTCACTGTTGTCCAAATCTGGTTCATAGGGTGGACCCGGCTTGAAAGGGAATGAAGGTCCTGCTGGACCCCCTGGCCCTGCAGTGAGTCTGGGGCCCCTGGGGGCAGTGGGCAGGGACCAGGAAAGGGACTGGGTGAGGAAGGATGTGGGACAGCTTCCGGCAGGGGACATGGGCCTGGATAGAGTTTGGGATCAGCCACGATGCAACCAACTATCTGTTCTTTTGAGATTTGTGATCAGGGGGTCTTAGGGACTCCTTCCTGAGGGGTCTGACTCCATCTCTCCCTCTCAGGGATCCCCTGGGGAGCGAGGTGGAGCAGGATCAGGTGGCCCTATTGGCCCCCCAGGGCGCCCAGGCCCTCAGGGTCCCCCTGGAGCAGCAGGGGAGAAAGGTGTTCCGGTGAGTATAGGGGGGGAATTAAAGGTGATCCTTGTGAGCATGGGGAGGGGAGAAAGATGTTCTGATGAGTATGGGGGGGTGATGTTGTGAGCTATGAGCTGAGGGGTAATGGCTACTGAGGTACCTGCACGGACACTTGAAGGTAAATCTACATCCAGGCTATGACCCCTGTTCTTGTTTCTCACAGGGTGAGAAGGGCCCTATTGGTCCAACTGGCCGTGATGGGGTGCAGGGTCCTGTGGGGCTTCCTGGTCCTGCAGGACCCCCAGGTGTGGCTGGAGAGGATGGAGACAAGGTGAGGGGACCCACAGATGCGTCCACATGAGCCTGCTGGCCTGTCCATGGCTTCCTGACCTCTGTTTTATTTTCCTCATCTCTTTTTTCTCACATCTTACTGTCTCCTCCAGGGTGAGGTGGGAGACCCAGGACAGAAGGGCACCAAAGGACACAAAGGCGAACATGTGCGTGTCTGACCTTGACTTTTGACCCCTTGGCCCTTAACATCTTCCCGTTCCCCTATCCTGGCACTTCTGACTTTCCTTTCCTCCCCAGGGCCCTCCTGGACCTCCTGGCCCCATTGGTCCTGTGGGGCAGCCTGGAGCTGTGGTAAGTGTCCCTCAGTCCCTAGACTCTAGCCTGCCTTGGTTCTCTTCTGCCCTTGGGGTTGGGAACAGTGGGGACTTTGGCCCAGGTGCTCAGCTCTGTGTGGGGTTTATGGATACAGGACACCTGACCCATCGCCTGTCACTGTGTCCTTGTCCCTGCTCCAGGGAGCTGATGGGGAGCCTGGAGCTCGGGGGCCCCAGGGACATTTTGGAGCCAAAGGTGATGAAGGAACAAGAGGGTTCAACGGGCCCCCAGGACCCACTGGCCTACAGGTGAGCAGGGGTGGGGACAGGCTGAGAGGCGGGCTCAGGATGGTGCTGGTGTTTGATCCTCCAGCCAGCTGCCTTCTGATGAAGACTGGAGAGGTGGGGACAGAGGACCAGACCTTCTGCTGTGTGGGGCTGAGCCCCTTGGGTTACTGTTTCCGTGGGCTGGTCACCTGGGTCTGTGCTTTATGTATCTATACAGGGCTTGCCAGGACCCTCCGGGGAAAAAGGAGAAACAGGAGACGTGGGGCCCATGGTGAGTGTGACACCCACTGACCCCAGCCCGCCTGCTAGTCTCCTGCCACCCAGCCAGCCCCCAACCTGATGTACCACTGCAGACATTACTACCTGCACACTACCCCCCATCTGCCCTGTGTCAGGACCTGTGCTCAGCCAGCCCTCACTGTCTGTCTCCTTCTCTCACTTCCCTTCTCCATCCTGATGAGCTCTGATGAATCTGTAACCCCCCACCAGGGACCTCCTGGCCCCCCAGGACCTCGAGGCCCAGCTGGACCCAATGGTGCTGACGTGAGTTTTCTTGTCCTTTGCCCTTTTGGATCTGTGTGGCCGATCTCTGCCTACCTTTCCCCAGACCATAAACACTAATTCCAGTCCCAAGAGAAGCCCCTGGTCCTGGAAAGGCGACCACCACCTCGCCTCGCCTCGCCGCTGTGACCCTGGGCTCTCATCCAGGTCTCTGCCTCTCCTAGGCAATGACTTCTCTTTTTCTTCTCTTCTGTTCCTTTTCTAGGGCCCTCAAGGTCCCCCTGGAGGTGTTGGGAACCTGGGTCCCCCTGGAGAGAAGGTAGCTGAGAAATCTTGCTGGGGGTGAGGGTTGGATTTCTGTCTATTTTTTGTTGGGGGTATAAAGCTGAATGAGATGTGGGGAGAATCAGGATCTGGGGAGGAAGGGCCTTGACCTGATCTCTTTGTAGGGGGAGCCAGGAGAGCCAGGATCTCCAGGTGTCCAGGGTGAGCCAGGTGTCAAGGTGAGCGACATTCCTGAGACTTTGCTCTCTGACCCTCTTCACCTCCTTTACTGTACCCTAAGGCCCTGCTTTCTGGCTCCCTTCACTTCCCAACCATACCCCTACTTTTCTTGTGAGTTTGGTCCTTCACAGCCCGTGAGTCTGCCGCTGGTCTGATCCTAGAGCCTGAATGGAACCCTGTCTCTGTTTCCTTGAAGTGAAGAGAGACCAGGGGGCTCCCCATAGGCTTGACTTTGTTCTGTTGTCACCATGGGACTGAGGGGAGGCAGAGGGTGTCTTGAAAGCAGGGTCTTATCCCTGATCTTCAAGACTCTCCTGAGAATATCTGTGCCCTCCACTCATTCCCCAGGGTCCACGAGGGGAGCGTGGGGAGAAAGGAGAGTCCGGGCAGGCCGGCGAGGCGGGACCACCAGGGCCTAAAGGCCCCACAGGCGATGACGGCCCCAAGGGGAATCCTGTGAGTTTGGGGGGGGGGTGAGAGGAAAGGCCCTGTGAATGGGAGGCATGGGAATGCTGGTGTGGGCATGAGGACCTGGAATGTGGGGAACCCAAAGTGGGCACTGCCCGGAGGGAAGGGGGTCTCCTGGGAAGGGTTGGAGGAAAGTGAGAGATGACTCATAGTTTTAGAAGCATCAGACGGTTTCAGGGATGGGGTTGGAAAGAGAGATACAGGAGACTCTTTAACAAGGGTGGAACTTGTGGACATTACCTAAGGGAGGATAGTGTGGCATGTGCCTTTGGGGGGGGCGTTCTGTGTTCCCTCTGGGTGAACTTAGGGAGCTGTGACTCTTCTCTATTTTCAGGGTCCTGTTGGCTTTCCTGGGGACCCTGGCCCCCCTGGAGAAGGTGGCCCTCGGGTAAGTTTCATCCAGGAAGGAGAAGAGGCAAAGATGGTACTCCTCTATGTAGCTGATGGGCCTGGGTGTTGGGACACTAGGGTTCAGCAAAGTGGGTGGAGGGATGGCAGGCGTGCCAGTCTTGGTAATGCCAGCTGAGTGGGGGGCCCTCCTCTGACTTTGCTTTATCCCTGCAGGGCCAGGATGGTGCTAAGGGTGACCGAGGAGAGGATGGCGAGCCAGGACAGCCTGTGAGTGACCAGTAACCCCCACCCCACTGCTTGCCGATCTCAAGCCTTCAGTCTGAACCCCAGTCCCCAGGTGTTTTTTGACTCTCTAATCCTTTCCAAATCCTCCTTGCCTAGGGATCCCCTGGTCCTACTGGGGAGAATGGACCCCCTGGACCTCTTGGAAAACGGGTAAGTGGTGTAGGTTCTGGCGGCTGTCCTTAGGTAGGGTGGAGGGAGGTGGGACAATGGCAGGTGCTGGGCAGGACATGCTGCTGTCTGGGTTGTTTTCGCATACTCAGCTATCCGTCCTTAGTGTGCTGAGTACCTTGGGTACTTTTGTCACAGGGTTTTTGTTTGTGTAACTTTGCCAGAGATGGTGGTGCTCATTGACCTATCAGAATGGATACAGGAGGAAGGCCTTCTCTAGAGGACCCTGCTGGGCTTAACCTCTTAGCTGCTGGTGCAGGAGGTGGGAGGAGGGAAAGGGGCTCTGTGGCTCTTCCCCATGTGTATCAAGGTGCTCTGTGTTTTAACAATGAGTCCAGCTGCACCTGTCCTCACTATCTGTGAATGGTTCCTCCCTCCCCTCTCTGTGTCCGTGTCTGTGTGTGTGCATGAATGTGTGTGTGTGTGTGTGTGTGTGTGTGTGTGTGTGTGTGTGTGCAAGAGAACAGGAGGGGCAGACTTGAGCCTGGCTGTCTGTGACTCCATCAACTCCGTCCTGTTCCCTTTCACAGGGACCTGCTGGCACTCCAGGTCCAGAGGGACGACAAGGAGAGAAAGGCGCCAAGGTGAGGGAGAGGCCATCCTGAGTGCTGGAACTTCTCCTCTACCCTCCTCCCTCAGAGTCCTGTCTCAGGATGCCTTCCCCACGTCTGTCTCACCCTTGTTGAATCCCCTTTGGGTCTCTGCACCTGTTCCTGCACAGGGCTCCTGCGGTCTGGTGCCTTCCTTCCTTTCTGCTTCACCTTTCCACCTTGGACCTCCCCCCCTTTCCCTCTTCTGTCTTTGAGGATAAATTCTTTCTTTGTGCTTCAGGGTGACCCTGGTGCTGTGGGCGCCCCTGGAAAGACGGGTCCCGTAGGTCCTGCAGGCCCAGCAGGAAAGCCTGGTCCTGATGGTCTGAGGGGCCTCCCAGGCTCCGTGGTGAGTCACAGCATGGAGGACCTGGGGGGAGGGTGAAGGCCATGGGTGCTGTGTAATTTAGGGGTGCTTCTCCTGACATTGGGGGTTCTTTCTAATCTGTAGGGTCAGCAAGGCCATCCTGGAGCCACAGGCCAGGCTGGACCCCCAGGTCCTGTGGTGAGTAACAGAAACTGGTTTGGGTGTTTTGGGGTGACAAGAGCCAGGGAGGAAGTGGAAAGTGTGTGTGTGTGTGTGTGTGTGTGTGTGTGTGAACTTGGCCTACCTTTTGGGAGAGTGACTTCCTGTCTTCCCATAGGGACCCCCAGGACTTCCTGGCCTCCGAGGTGATGCTGGAGCCAAGGGAGAGAAGGTGAGTGACAGATAACATGGGGACAGACATCTCTGTCCCCACTCAGCTCCTCACCATGTGGGTCAGCCACTTCTCTGCTTCAGGACCCTGGCACCTAGTCCTCAGGGTCTGTACTCAGCGGGGACCATTCCCAGCTGCCTCTCTTTCCCTAGACCCTGTATCTGTCTCCCTGTCTTTTTGCCCTTCTCCATCGATCCATGTGGGTCCTCTGTGCATCCCTGTGACTGCCTGACCCCTTCTCTAGGGTCACCCTGGTCTTATTGGACTGATTGGGCCTACCGGAGAACAAGGAGAGAAGGGTGATCGGGGTCTTCCTGGCCCTCAGGGCTCTCCAGGACAGAAGGGAGAGACGGTGGGTGTAGAATGTGGCCCAGGGAGGTCTGGGATTCATGCTGGGGTGGGGAGGTGTGGGAATGTGGACTGAGCTATGGAGTGGAATAGTTTAGGGAGGACTCAGATGAATGACCCTTCCTGTCCTAGGGTATCCCAGGAGCATCTGGTCCCATTGGTCCTGGGGGGCCTCCTGGCCTGCCTGTGAGTACCCCATCTGCCCTTCCTCTAAGTCCTTTAAACTCTACCCAATGACCTACCAGTAGAGTGCCCAGTGCTCCCCCTTCTGTGTGTCTCCATCCATGTGCCCTCATGGGGGCCCCTCCTGTAGAAACCCAGAGCCCTCTGCCATGTCTCTCCATGCCTCTCCCCTTTCCCTGTGCTGACCCCTCCTTTTGTTTATTTCACAGGGACCTGCTGGCCCCAAAGGAGCCAAAGGAGCCACAGTGAGTGACATCATCCTTGGTCTTTACCTTCCCTCAGCTGGCCTTGGCCCTGTTTCTCCAAAGCAAACCCATACACTCCCCCTCTCACACTGGGGTACCCCTAATTTTTACCAAGTGATCAACTTAACCCTTCTGTGACCTTGATCCCATTCTTGTCCTCTTGATCTGTCCTTGACTTTATTAACCCCTTTGATAGGGCCCAGCTGGACCCAAGGGAGAGAAGGGCGTCCAGGGCCCTCCAGGACACCCGGTGAGTGAGGAGGCAGCATCTGCGTCTGGCTGTGTCCCCCTCTGTCACAGTCACTTGCTGTTCTACTGTCACTCCAACCTCATGGCACCCTCTGTCTCCACCCAGGGTCCCCCTGGTGAGGTGATCCAGCCACTGCCCATCCAGATGCCCAAGAAGACCCGCCGCTCCGTGGATGGAAGTCGCCTGATGCAGGAAGATGAAGCTGTACCCACCGGGGGTGCCCCCGGCAGTCCTGGGGGGCTAGAGGAGATCTTTGGCTCTCTGGACTCACTGCGAGAGGAGATTGAGCAGATGAGGAGGCCGACAGGGACCCAGGACAGCCCCGCCCGTACCTGCCAGGACCTGAAGCTGTGCTACCCTGAGCTGCCCGATGGTCAGCACCAGCCTGGGGCACTGCAGAGTGACTGCTGGTTGTGGGGTGGGTTAGAGAAGGGTTGGGGTGAGTGGCTTGGAACAGAAGCATGTCTGGGTTTTAACAGCTGAATGGCTTCACCCATGAGTACCAGCTCATTACAGCAGCATCCATGGGAGCAGATAAACACACATGTGCACACATGTGCCCATGTTTGCACAGGTGGCTATGTATGCACAGTTGAACCAACCACGCATTCTCAGTGTGAGGATGCCACATTCTTTCCCTCAGAGGAACCACAGGTGTCAGTGATTGGAATGGGCTCTGAGGTGATGAGGGAAACTGAGGTAGGGCAGGAGGTTAGACAGAGCTGTGAGTAGGAAAGGTCTGGGAGACCATGTTGGGCAGGGCTGAGGTGTTGTGACAGTCAGAGAGAAGAAGGAATGTGAATCGAGGAGCATCTTGGAGTCCAGAACCTTGGTGCCCTGACTTCCCTGTCCTTCACCCAATAGGAGAGTATTGGGTGGATCCCAACCAGGGCTGTGCTCGGGATGCCTTCCGAGTGTTCTGCAACTTTACAGCTGGAGGAGAGACGTGTGTGACACCCAGGGATGACGTCACACAGGTGCGAGCTGATTGGCCTTCCCCTGGCTCTGTCATGACCCCATCAGGGTCTGGGGGCATCTGGGTTTATGTGACAAGGTCCCTGGCCATTGTCCTGACCCAGTCTGCTGACCCTTCTCCCTCCTGTGCCTTCTCATCTGTCCTCCGATGCTCACTTCCTCTCCTGCAGCCTCCTGCAGCCTCCTAGCTTCCGCCCTCACCCCTGTGCCCAGCTATTGACCTGTCTCTTTTTTTGGGTCAGTTGCCCCAGCTCTGTGGATACTTCACAGACCCGTCTGGGTCTCTCCTGACTCTCTTTCCCTTCCAGTTCTCCTATGTGGACTCTGAGGGCTCCCCAGTGGGTGTGGTCCAGCTCACCTTCCTGCGCCTGCTTAGCGTCTCCGCCCACCAGGACATCTCCTACCCTTGCTCTGGAGTATCCCAGGATGGTCCCCTGAGACTCCGGGGGGCCAACGAGGATGAGTTGAGCCCTGAGACCAGCCCCTATGTTAAAGAGTTCAGAGATGGCTGTCAGGTAGGAATCAGGACTACTGGGTGGGTGGTGGGTTCGCACATCCTGAGCCATCTGGATGGGGTCAAGATGCTCAGAGAAGAGGTGAACCTTGGGGGTGTATTGAGAGGTGCTTTACCTTGCTTCCTTCTCCTCCTCTCTCCCCATCAAGACCCAGCAAGGCCGGACGGTGCTGGAGGTGCGCACACCTCTGCTGGAGCAGCTGCCGGTGCTGGACGCCTCCTTCTCAGACCTTGGGGCCCCCTCGAGGCGGGGAGGCGTGATGTTGGGGCCTGTCTGCTTCATGGGCTAGGACCTTCTCTGATCCTGTTGGTCAGAACCAGGCTGACCAGGAGTCATACAGCATGGGCTCCTCACCACCTCCCGTGAAGACTCCTTATCATCTAGGGGGCCTTGGGCCAGGGCACATTGAGCCCCAAGTCAGGGGCGGTCAGGGGAGGGGTGAATCAGGGCATGCTGGGACAGCCCAGGGGAGGGGTGGCACCCAGGGCTCCGATCCCTCCCACCTGGAGCCTGTGTCCCTTTAGAAAGCTGAGATCCTTATTTAAAACACTTCCCAGTTACCCCAAACAAGTGGAAGAGAAAGGACACTGTGTATTTTGTATTTAAAAAAGTAATTATATTAATTATTTAAAGAGTGGAAAAACAAAATAACAAGGTAAAAGAAAAATGCCAAACTCTGCCCTCCCCCCAGCAGATGTCGGGGGACTAGGGTGTGGCAGCCTTTCCTCCCCTCAGGGTTTCTTCAGTGCCTGTGGGTGTGGCTGTCCAGGCTGAACCCCACCTCACTTACCCCCGACTTGGAACACTAAGACCGCTGGGACATGGGGAGTGAGGCCAGACTGGAGGGACTGTGTGGGGCCTGCAGGTCAGCAGGTTATTGAAATATAGAAGTTCTTCCCCGTGGCTGGAAAATTGCCATGGCTCTGAGCACCCCGAGTATTGCTGACCTGGCCACATTAGTCCCTCCCCTGGGCACCTCCTCTCTGTCCCTGATCCTGGAGAGAAAGTTACTGTCCAACCTTTGGCCAGAAAAGCCTCCCAGGACCCTCTAAGCCCTCTGCCCAAGTCCATTCTGACTGATGGTTAAATAATGTGATTGTCTCCTTCGGGGTGTGCGTTGTTATTTCAGTCCCTCAGTCCCATCCAGTGCTGTTGTTCCCTGGAAAGGCTGGCCTAGCCCTACATGGGAGGGCTCCCGAGAGGGGCCCAAAGCTTACGCAGCCTGTACAGAATCACAAATGGATGCCCCAGCAGCATCATATGGGGGGCTCAGAGCCCCAAGGGCCCTGGGCTTGGTCTAGCGCAGGGCTGATGCTGTATGTGTGAGCCTTCCTCCCTGACTCCCCCTTAAATCTTCAGGGCTAGGAAAAGCCTTATAAAACTCCTTGCAAATGGGAATACTTAAATACGCAGCCCTCTTCCAAGACAAGGATTTCTGCACCTGCCTCTCTAAGGCACATTGTGTCCTCAATCCTTAGGCTTGCAGTGCCATAGTCAAAAGCCAGAGGGGAGTCAGGCCTTTCTCTCCTGTCTTTTCACACATGCATCTTTATTCTGCCAGGTTTGGTGTGTATGTAGGCTCCTCCCACTCAGGACTGCCCCACCTGCTTCCTTCCCAAGCTGCCCTTCACAGGGTTTGCTGATCACCTCTGGTCAGCTCAGGTTAGGTGTCCCGTGGTGTTGGGCATCCCTAGTGGGCCTCCCGCTCTCCTGGGGCTTCCTGTCCTAACCATTTTGCTTGTTCCCACCTGTCAAGTGAAGGTGGAAGCTTACTTCAGGGCCTCATCCCAACTGGGATGCCCTTTCCTCGCCAGACACCTCAGAGGTAGAGGCCTGGAGGGAGACATGCACATGCATACACAGTTCCCTCTGGTGGGCCCCAGTCTACCACCTAGACTGCTCCTGCTTGAAGGACAAAATAGTGGAACTTTGATCCCAGGAGTCCCTCAGTGTAGTGGAGACCCCAGTGCAGGTGGGGACCCCAGGGCAGGTGGAGACCTCAGGTCAGGTGGTGACCTCAGATCAGGTGGGGACCCCAGGGCAGGTGGGGACCCGAGGGCAGGTGGGGACCCCTTCTCTGCTGGGGCACCCTGGGTGCAGCCCCTTATTTCTGCCTCTGCTGCCCTCTACTGCGGCTTTGGTGAAGACCTCCACTCCTACAAAAGAATCAGCCGGTCCAGTCCTTAAGACCCTAACCCTCTACTACTACTTCATCCTTTGAACCTTCACCCACAGTTCCCCAAACCACAAGACACACTCTCTCTCTCTCTCCTCTCTCTCTCTCTCTCTCTCTCTCTCTCTCTCTCTCTCTCTGTGTGCGTGTGTGTGTGTGTGTTTCAGCGCACATGCATGTGCATATCTGTGAAGACCAGAGGATAACTTCAGGTTTCAATCTCAGGAATGCTGTCTACCTCATTTTAGAAATGGTCTGTCATTGCCCTGGAGCTCACCAATTAGGTTAAACTGGCTGGACGGCAAGTCCAGTGACACTTGTCCTCTCTCAGCCCCTCTACTCTGGGATCACAGCCTTTTTACATGGGTTCTGGGGACTGAACTCAGGTGTTCAAGCTTGTGCAGTTAGCATTTTCATAACAGAGCCATTTTTCCAGCTCCAATGTCCAATCTTGATTGTCAACCTGAGGGAATTTAGACTCATCTGGGAGACACACCTTTGTGTGTATCTGGGATGGTATTTCCGGTCAGGATGGATGTGGTTTCTGAGATCACACATGCCTTCCCATGTCCATCACCAAGGCCTGAGAGAGACCTCTCCCTTCTTCCCTCCCCTCCCAGGCCTCAGAGGCACTCCCACCATCCCACCCACACCCATCCCCAGCCAAGTTGAACCAGAGCTGAGGTTTCTCTAGTGATCTCTAGCACTTGGTGCCAAACCACAGAGGTCATACCCAGAGCACAAAAGGAGTGTCCCCAAAGGTCACTTTTGCTTTGGGCTCAGATTTTCTCCATGGAAACAATGCCACACAGTCACTCAAATAACATTTATATTCGGTGGTTAGGTCCCCAGGCCAATCCACAAAAGCCCATTTCATTAGCGTGCCAACCAATCCATCTAACAGTTCATGAGCCGCTCTGCCCGGTGGCTGGCAAGGACAGCAGGCTCTCACCCTCCTCTTTTTGCTGGCTTTTCCTTCCTCTCTGGAAAGTAGGGGCCTGGCTCAGAGGAGATGGAAGGGAGTTGAAGGGCAGTGTTTGATCTTTTTGAGGTAGCTCCAAATAGCCTGGAACTCACTATGTAGACCAGGCTGGCCTCGAACTCACAGAGATCCACCTGCCTCTGCCTCCCCAGTGCTGGGATTAAAGGTGTGCACCACCATGCCTGACAATTTTATTTTTTTATGTGTATGAGTGTATTGCTTGTGTATGTAAGTGCACCCGTGTTGTGCAATGCCCGAAGAGGAACAGAAGAGGGCATCAGATCCCCTGGAACTGGAGGTAGGGTGATTGTTACCAACCACGTGGGTGCTGGGAATCGAATCCAGGTCCTCTGCAAGAGCAGCCAGTGCCCTTAACCACTGAGCCATCTCTCCAGCCCCAGAACATACAAACTCTTGGAGGAGTTAGGCTCTGCTGTAGGGTGTGGCCAGGGTGGGTCACAGCCACATAGTCTACAGTCCTGTTGGTGGCTTAGGAGAGGAGGTCTTAGAATAAGGACGGGAGGAAATCACAGAGCTAAGATCCTCTGGCCTGCCACACCTCTGCAGCTGATCTGAGCTCTGGGTTTCTAGTTTTGGCATCTCTGATTTATAGCTGAAAAAAAAGACTTGTAATATGGTGGTGCATGTCAGTCATTTCAGCACTTGGGCAGGTGCTGAGGCAGGAGGATTGCTACGAGTTTGAACTACATAGTGAGTTCCAGGCCACCCTGGGCTGCAGCATGAGACCCTATCACAAACCATCCAATCAAAACCAAAACCAAAACCATGAAGTACACACTTAGCTCGCTGTCCTGGGAGCACTACACTTCCCAGAGGGCCATGGATCACACACTCTCTTCCTAGTCTGAGTTGCATGTGGGACTTGGATGGACCAGGTTAGGTGGGAAGGGAGTGCAGAGGGAAGGGGAGGGTGGAACAAGGCTCTGGTTGCTCAGAGGGAAGTTCCTGTGCAGCCAGCTGGAAACCAGCTTTGAGGTGTGTGGTTCCTGTTCCTCTGTTTGGTGGAGCAGGATTGTCAGGGTCACATGGAGACTTCTTCATGGCAGGCAGCACAGGCTTCTGAGAGCCTCCAGTTTCCCCTGGGTGCTTGTGATTGGTCTACTGCTATCTTTCTCCTCTCATATTCAGGGATGTTTCAGGTACCAGCAGAGATCCTCCCCTGAGCGACGGAGATGTTGGAATGAAGGGATTTCTAGTGTTTAAGTCTTATGAGTCTTACCATTTCTCCTGTAAAGGGTTCGGATGCTGTAGAGACTGGCAAGTGTGGGCCTCATGGCGACACTCCCTCGGGGCTGGTGTTCACATCTCCCTGTGGAAACCAAGGAGGCCAGTCCTCACTAAAGTTTTACCTCAGTCACAAGTGCAGTAGAGACTTTTCTTTCTTTTTTTTCCAGACGGGAGCACGCTTCGTAGCCCAGGCTGTCTTCAGACTGATAGATGATCCCTCCCACTCAGCCTCCCAAGTGTTGGGATGACAGGTGTGAATCAATACACCTGGTATAGAATTCTTAAATATTGTCCTTTGTCTGAAATGCTTTAACTACAGTGTGAGTTGTCCCTAGATACTAGTGCTACAGTGGGGCTAGGAGGAAGGACCTTGGGATTTGTCCCACCCTGTGAGAGGATCTGACTTTTGGGCAAAGCTCTTTGAACTCAGAGGAGGGGTCAAAGGAGACACTGAAGTAATTCCTTTTCTGGTATTTTCAGAGAGGTGTGTTCTTTTAAAAGATTTGTTTACTAATTTATTATTTATATGTATGTGTGTGGTGTGTGCCTATATGAGTTTATCTGTATAGTGTGCACGCAGGTAACCTCAGGGACCAGAAGAGGAGATCAAATCCCATGGTCTGGAGTCACAGGCAGTTTTGTGAGCCACCTGTTAAGGATGCTGGGAACCAAAACCAGGTTCTCTGCAAGAGCAGCAAGTGCTCTTAACTGCTGAGCTGTCTGTCTAGCACCAAGAAGCGTATTGTGTTCTTAAACCTTATGAAGCGTGTTCTTAAAGCTTATGCATGCCTTGTCTTGGGATTTGCATTAATGACTTTTCTTGTTGTTGTGATCATATTCCTAACAGGAAGCAGCTTCAGGGAGGAAGACCTTGTTTGTCTTACAGTTCTAGGGATTATCGTTGGTTATGGTAGGAATGACCTGTCTGCAGATGCGTGAGGCTTCGGATCACATTGCCTCAGCAAACAGGAAGTGGAGCAGGGCTATAAAATCTCAGGTCCCACCCTCAGTGACCCACTTCTCCTATGAAGCTCTATCTTCTAAAGATTGTACAGGTTCCAAAATAGTGCTATGAGCTGGGGCCAAGGGTTCAAATACACCAGCCTGTGTGGGACATGGCTCGTTCAAACCACAAGAGTGATCCCTGTGGTGGCTGGAGAGGCAGAGGGTTATTCCATGGCAGTCAGTGGCTTCTGCGGCTACCGACTACCCTAATGGTACAGTGTTACAGTGTTACTTGGTGCTCACTTCTTTTGTAACATTATTAACTTGTTATGCTTTGGGATTCTGATACCCTGAGAGCTAATGAGCCATGAAGAGATACTTTATCTCCAACTGCCCTGGCTTCTCAAATTATTTTAATTTTTCTAGATCTCCAGCCCAACCTCTTAAAACCTAGGCTCTCTCTGGAGAATGTTGGATTTTGGTTTCAGAGCTCCATCTTTTTATATGAGTGTGTGTGTGTGTGTGTGTGTGTGTATGTGTGTGTGTATGTGTGTAT